CCCACCCACCAAAGTGGCTCATAGAGGTAAGAATATCCTCCAACTCCTGTTGAACATATAAAATGACTCAATTCCAATTATTCAATGTGACAAATGAAAGAAACACAAGAACATATAAAGCATAAGAGAATAGACAAGCAACAAAGGCATGGAAAAAAAACCTGAAATAAAAAAATAACACATGATACAGACTAGCTTCTCTAAAAACTAACAAATAATTTGACACAATTGACCTTAACATTATTTAGAGTATACTGAAACCAACTACTGTCTATATGTTGTTCAGATACTGAGTTGTTAAATTTATCACAAACGAGAAACTCATTGCACACACATCACTGTGATACGAAAAATAAAGAACTCTAAAAATTCAATGATTAAAATAACAAATATATGAAAACTTCATAAATTTATCCCTTAAATGTATAAGCTTTTGATACTGAGCTTCTTCCGCCATAGGCATAATACATGCACCATGCATGCGACTGCTTAAGATATGGTAATCATACATTGACAAATAAAATTTGAAATGGCATGTGGTTAATGTCAACTGATACTTAGGACTCCGTAAGAATTAAGTGAACAATTTTTTCAACAAGAGTAATATCACCTTAACTTTGAACTACTAATCTACTAAACAAACCAAATTGCCAAATGACGGAAAATCTTTAAACTCAACAACTTTATGAATCAATCTTCACCATATAAGTTATTCATCCTATATCCATTTCCACGTAACAACAAAAAGTTTGAAAATTAAACAACAAATTCTAAAATCAAACACAACTGCTCAACATTAAACAATCTTGCATAACATTAGAAAAGAGAACACACATATCCAGACACACAATTGTCATCATATGTTGGCAAGGTGACTTTAAAACACCCAGAGGGTCTTTTAAGTTTACATAGCTTCCAAATTGATGAACTGAGTAAAATTGGGTTTAAAAAAACAAAATAGCAGATATCAGCAAGAATTTAACAATCAGCAACTAATAGCTAACATAAATTAGGGTCTAAACTTTCTTCAACTTCAATCCACTAAATAGAACACCTTTGGGCACCAATCTGGACTGCCCTTTACAGTTTAACCCATTTTCCATTTTCACTCAATTCCGTGTAAACTTTGAAAATTACAACAATTTAAACATAAACTCAAAACACCCAATCGCTCTCCATTGACAACAACCCACATCAGTAAAACAAAAAGGGGAGAAATTGAACTTTGAAAAGTGTACCCAGAAAAGCATTTGAATTACGAACCTGCTCTGATGCCAGAAGCCCCGGCCTTTTTCAAACCCTTCTTTTTGACAATGAAACTAGCACCAATAAACAAGCTCGAAGACAAAGCAAGAATCAAACCCTTGATGTTGTCAGAGGACATGCCCTTGTAGGAATCTCTCCAGCTCATATGGTGGCTCTGACCCTCAGTCGCCATGGCTGAGAAAACCCAGAAACAAAAACCCTAAAAAGCTTCTCCGCTCACAGGCTTTGAGTGTATCATTACTGTTACAAAACTGCAAATACCCAAATAGGCGAGCGACTCGGAATGAGTTGAGAGAGAGAGAGAGAGAGCACGTTCGATCGAGTTTACAAAGAAATAACACAGAGAGAGATTTAGATGGAGAAGATATTGAAGATAATGTCGGCGCTGGGAGTTGGCGGTGGGTACAGAAATGTACAGCTGTTGTCTGTTGTTGTAGATCGGAAGGCAAAGGAGAACAACAACAAGAAAGAAGAAGAGAGGGCGTGTCGTGTGTTTTAATGCGAAACGAAGATTGGATTTTTATTAATTTAACTCGGTTTCACCGTAATAACGACTTCACTCCGACCAAAGGTTGATGAGTGCTATACTCCATCTTTTGATCCTTTTTTTTTCTTCTTAATTGTTAGGTTTCTTTAAAAAAATTGTATTTTTAAGGGTACATTACATATTAATCCCAACTTTTTCGAGTCATTTCAAATTGGTATCAACCTTTCAAATCATTTTAAATTAGTACCCGACGTCATGATAATTCTACATTAGGTAAGCTCCGATTAGCTTTCAGTGTTATATGTCAGTGGTAATTGTGGATCTTATTTTTAATAGATATTTATAAAAATACCCAATTCTAAACATGTATTTATAAAAATACCCAAGTACTATTTAAACATAGAAACATACCCAAAATGTGTTTTGGGTATGTGTGTAATGATGGGTTTTGGGTATGTTTATAAATGGGTTTTGAGTGTGTGTAATGATGAGTTTTGGGTATGTTTATAAAGTGTTTTGGGTGTTTGGTATTTTTATAATTTCAGCCCATATTTTGGGTATTTTAGTGAAACTCCCTATTTTTAATTTATATGGACTCCAAATGCGTCATGTGGTAGAGCTCAATCTCACAACCGCATAGGCACAAACAAATCGTGAATCATAGCTAAAACGAAAATATTTACAAAACGGCTTGAGTCTTTATCAATTGTTGTGTTGAAAATGATTTGTTATTTCAAGGCTACAAAAAGTTTCTCATACCTTGGTATAACAGTTGTTACAATTTAAAATTCTTCTAGAACTATGTGTGGCTTGATTCCTTATAAAGAAAAGGTAATGGTATAACTAGTTAAGAGTTAGTTTGGTATTGTGATGATTTTGGGGGAAAAAAAAAAGAGAAGATTTTTTGCAGTGCTATAAGAAAAATCAGAACTAATGTAGTTGAATGTTTAGTAAACTATAATTCAAAAAGCGCTCGTAGTATAAAAAGCAATGTCATAGTTTATGGTAAGTTTTATTGTATAAGTGTTAAGATTATACATAATGAGGAAAGTCATATTTTATTGGTTTTTACTTGAAATATTTGTCTTAATATTTACTTTGACTTGTAGAACAGTGGTCTCAAGTTCGAACTCCCATGTTATCGTAGTAGTGTATGTGTGAGAAGCTCTCCTCTCCCTTAGTTTAAACTATCGCTTGTATTAAAAATAAAAATAAAAATACTTTTTGAATAGTAGTAATTTTATTTTTCAAGAAAGTATTTGTTTAAGATTTCGATAACATAATGTCAAAATTGATGTTTCTAAACATGCGAGATGAACCAATGTGGTGTTAATTGGATTGGTCAAGGCCTTTGGTGTGCTATCAAGTAATCCTGAGTTCAAATCCCCACGTACGATACCCGTATGTGTGAGTTTTTCCCCTTCCCCATTTCTAGACACAAAAAAACATGCGAGATGAAGCCAAGACTGTCTCTTTGATCCCTCTGATACCTTAACAATGGGTCCAATAAAAGTGAATTATTATTATTTCTTTAAATAAAATGAAAATAACATATTTTAAATCAATATCAACATCTACATATATATACATAAATAAAAACAGTATCTAATGATCAACAACATCTCCAACGTGTTGCATAATCCTTATTGCTATTTGGGATAGATTTTAGTTTCTTTTTTTTTTTGTTCAATAGATAGATTTTAGTTTGAAATATTTAGTCATATACTCATTCTTGGCACTAATAATATAGATAAACCCTACACCATTTAATTTATATAAACAAAAAAAAAACCCAGAAAATTACAGCTGGCCATATTGAATTTAATTTTGATGATTAAATTTCTTTGATACCCTATTGAGTGTTTTGGGTTTTTTATTTATGAGGTTTTGGGATTGGGTTTGTTTTAAGAAATCAATGGTAGTTTTGTAAATTAAAATAAGTTAAAAGCCTTTTTGTTATATTGTAAATGGACTTTTGGTATGTTTCTAAAGTCCATTTCATATAGGTTTTTTTTTAATAATAATTTGGGCTCCTATATTGAGTATAATAGTGAATCTCCCTTTTAGTCTATAGTCTTACTAGGAATTGAAAATATCCCTACATAGTATGGAATTCAATTTTCTTATAGTGAGAGAGACATTGAAAGTTGAAACGCTTGTGATAGCGAGAATGAGCAAAACCATGATGGTTGTGTATTTCATCACGAATACTAGAATGAGAGAGTAACACCCGTTAGAAACATTGTATTTGTAAATTTTATCAAATGTGATGAAATTTGCTTTCGAATATTAAAAACCTGATTATATTAAAATTCTTATAATGGTAAATTTGTTTTAAAATTTTGATTTCAAAGACAATTCAAAATTGTGTTCTGATTATTTGATCTCTCTATTTTTGTTTAGGATTAGAATTGAGAGCCGTTTACTTACCATGAATGGAGGAAGTAAGAGATCGGGGAATTAGGAATCGGCAAAGTAATGAATCGGTATGGGAAGAATCATTCCAATTAAGATGTTTATTAACCATATGAAATCAACACGGGAATGGAGTTGAATCCTATTGTTATTGTTCACTAATTCTCATGAATCAAAACCTAAACTAATTTGATTACTAAAATGCCCTACATATATAAATACATATTTTTAACCTAAGTAACTTGTAAAAAAGAAAATTGAAAAAATATTATTTTATAACTAATGTATAATATAAGATACTATATGATGAGTGATGAAAAAAATTAGTAAATAATAATATAAGGAATATAATAGAAAAATAAATATGACATAGTGATACGAAGAATAACAAGACAAGGAAGGAGTCTAGCAACCAAGGTGAATAGGGGAAAAAATTGTTTTTTCCAAATTTGATAAATAAATAGTCATTGAATTATTTTTAAAGCTTTGGGGTGTTTTGAAATTATCATAAAATGGTAAAGGTATTTTTGAAAGGTAGTAAGGACTAAAATGAATGGAAATCGGATCAACTACTCCCCCTAATTGATATAATTCCTAGTTTTGAGGGAATGTGATTATGGATTTTGAGGTAGGGCTCACACATTTTTACGTTCCTGATTGCAAGTAAACACTGGGAAAGTCAAGAATGAAAATCATTCAATTTATTTTCATACCTATTATTGATATGTAAACATGCTCGAAATTCCTCCTAAAGGAAGTAAGATCAAGAATCCTCCACTTTCAATTCCTGATTTGAATTCCAGCTCTTGCTTAATAAACACATCATAAATATTAGAACATAGATTACTCAGTTAATTTTAAAGTTTGTTTAACTTTCAATTGAAAGAAAAAAAACCTGTCGTCTTCCTAAAAAACAAAAAAGAAAACGCCGTCGCCATCGCCGCTGCCTCCTTCAGTATCGCCTCCGCCCTCGTCGTCGTGCCACTGATGTCTCCCAGAATTGAAGAGGCAGATGTCATAAAGAAGAAGAAGAAGGAAACAAAGGTTCTCTGTTGCTTGTTTTAGTTTTGGCTGAGGCCTTTTAGTAAAGTGTTGTTTACTGAAGAAGTTGTTATGTTTCGTTTTTGTTTTTGGGCAGGCAAAAGAGAAAGAGTTGAAAAAACAAAAAGCTTTAAACAAAGCTCTCAAGCTTCAGGTAATGGCGGTTCATGTAGTTTGGTATAGTTCTGTGCTGGACACCTGCATCATTCTGAGGCATCTAAAACTGAAAAAAATACGTTCTTTCTTCCTTTTTTATATTTTCCATTCAAGTGTTACTAATAATCTGAAGTCAGTATGCTTTCTCTCTCTCTCTCTCTCTCTCTTCTTAATTTATTTTTGAACCTTTTTTTTTTTCTGGTTTTCTTCGGTTTTTTTCTGTCATCAGATCATGTAGTTTTAGCAGAGCAAAAAACTCAATCCTCAGTTAACCATTTAGTTTTCTGTGTAGAAAATTTGGCTTTGGTGAAGCATTGTTAGTTCTCCGTCACAGAATAAAAATTATTCTATAATTTTCTGTTTTCTTTTCAATTTCTTTATAGTTTTCTGAACAATTCTTACAAGATAACAAAGAACCTGTCTCATTTTGTATGTCAATTTTAGAACTTAGCAACTCTTCAATGGAAAAGTGAGTGAAAAAAAAAACTTGTATACCCTCTCGATTCCATGCCTGGCAAAGGGTGGTAATAAGTCATTACAGAATCAATGATGGATTCATGGTAAAATCCTTCCATGATTATTTTATATTATTTTATACTATTTACAATTTTTGGGCTGCTAAAGGAATCAAATGGTAGAATTCTTTTGTTGGTAGATCGGAGGATTAGAAACTTGACTATTGTTTCCAATTGGCTGTTCTTGCAAACTTGTTTTGGCCCCAGGGCGCCTGTAGATGCAAGTCTTAGATGCAGCTTTTTGTCACATTATCATAGAATATCAATGCAATGATGAAATGCTAACGTGTATTTATTTATTATTATTATTTTTAAATTTAAAATCATCAAGGAGCAACAAGCATGTCCTTGTACTTCTAAGACGAGTAAAAAGAAGATTGTGAGGCTTTATGATGAGGAAGATGAAAATGCAAAGGACCCAGAGACTCCATTTGGCGAGAAGAAACGGATGGCTGGTCAAATGACGAAAATCTACTATCCAAGTGCTGTAGAGAAATCGTGAGTGTGTTGTTCTTTTCGCGATTAATTCTCCCCTAAATTGTACTTGTAGTTTCTTCATATTTTCTGTACTTGCTGGTTTAGGTGGTATGAGTGGTGGGAGAAAATGGGGTTCTTCTCGGCAGATGCTAACAGCTCCAAACCTCCATTTGTGATTGTGAGTGTCATACTGCTCCAAACTAACTTCTTGGGTTTTCATTGATATGGTTAAAGAGAAAAAAAGTGTGCGAAGATTAACCAGGTTTGATATATATTGCAGGTTTTGCCGCCGCCCAATGTGACTGGTACCCTTCACATAGGCCATGCTCTTACTGCTGCTATTGAGGTCACATCTTTACATAAATTCCTGAGTTTATGGTCTCCATCTGTTAGGATGTTTAAAGAAAATTGTATGTGGTTGTGCTATATGCAGGACACTATCATTCGATGGCGTAGAATGTCCGGTTACAATACCTTGTGGGTGCCTGGGATGGATCATGCCGGGATAGCAACACAGGTTGTGTTCCTTTTCTCTACTAAATGGTTGAGGTTTGTTTTTTCTTTTTTTGGTGGAATGGAAGCAAATGGTTAAGTTTTTTTAAATATTACATTACCATTATGAGCAAAAGTAGTTATTGCATTGCCTTCATTCCTGCATTTCACAGAAATTTAACTTAACCCTTGTGCCACAAGTATATTATTCTCTTGTATATTTGGCCTTACTTTGGGTGTAGGGGATACACCCTTTCTTGTTAGAGCAGTTTCTTATAGCCCATGGCAATGAATTATTAATCTAATCATATGTTGACCATACATATATGCATGTACTTTTGCTTTTCATGGATCTGGATTTATCTTCATTACATATGTATTCGTTGCTGGCCATAATGTCCATTTGCTTATTATAGGTTGTTGTAGAAAAGAAGCTTATGAGTGAAAAAAATTTAACCAGACACGATATTGGTCGTGAGGAATTTGTGGCTGAGGTAAGCTTGAACTGTAATTAGCTGGAAATAGATCCCTTAATAATTTTGATGTTCTCAAAGTTTCTGAATACGTTCTTACCTATTCATACTGTTGGTTGGTTAACTGTTGTGAAAGGTTTGGGAATGGAAAAAAAAGCATGGGAGCACCATTTTACAGCAGTTGCGCCGTTTGGGTGCTTCACTAGATTGGTCCCGTGAGGTAAGGATTTGAGTTACATGGAGCTTGATTTGACTTGGTTCGGAACAAAGTATTAGTGGTCTCATTGAATTGCTTAAGTTGTTTACTAGACTGAGTCATGGAGATCTCTGTATCTCTCTCTCTCTCTCTCTCTCTCTCTCTCTCTCTCTCTGTGTTCTTGATATAGCCTTTGTTTTTCCTTTGTTTTTAGTGCTTCACGATGGATCAGAAAAGATCAAATGCTGTGACAGAGGCTTTCGTAAGGCTTCATAAGCAAGGGCTTCTCTATAGGTATCCTCAGCATATGAGAATATGAGGGGGACACTTCTTTTCTTATTGTGTGTTTCCCAGCTCAGAGATCTATGCTAATCTGAATCTAACCTTCCTTGATAAAAACAATATATAGGATATCTGAGAGGAGAAGATATTACTGTTGTGTTGTTCTAGGTTTAATATTAATTTGGCTGTGGATACTAGCTCTATCTTTCGGGTTCTTGATTGACTTCATTTGTATATTTTGTTTAGTTATATAGTTCAGTTGGGATAAGGATTGGATCATGATAATAGTGTACGCTAATTGACTTATTCAATCATCCACACATATACCTCATCCTCTCGTCTTTGTCTTTTTCTTCAGTTTGGTTGGTAAGCTTACTGGATTTGTCGGTATGTTTTGTTTTGCAGGGATAATCGCATAGTGAATTGGGATTGTGTTTTGCACACGGCAATATCTGACATTGAGGTCAGTCTTCTCCTTTTACCATCATATTTTCCCTAATTTTTTTAGCATTTATGGAATTTTTTTGGTGTATATAGGTGGATTACATTGATATAGAAGAAAGGACACTACTGATGGTTCCTGGATATGAGAAACCTATCGAATTTGGAATTTTAACATCATTTGCGTACCCTCTGGAGGAAGATTTAGGTGAGATTGTGGTGGCCACCACAAGAGTGGAAACCATGCTTGGTGATACTGCTATTGCTGTACACCCTAATGACGAGAGGTATCGGCATCTTCATGGAAAACATGCCATCCATCCTTTCAATGGAAGAAGGATTCGTATAGTATGTGATGAAATTCTTGTTGATCCAGAATTTGGGACTGGTGCTGTGAAGGTATAGTTTAACATATAAGTTGCGAGTGATTGCATTAAATTTCTTTTCCTAGTTTATGTTTCAGGGATGTAAAGATTTTTTGCTCTTTCTCTTTGCCTCCCGCAGATTACCCCAGCCCATGATGCTAATGACTTTAATGTTGGAAAGCGCCATAATATTGAGTTCATTAACATCTTTACTGATGACGGAAAAATAAACCAGGAGGGTGGAGAATTTGCAGGAATGCCACGTTTCAAAGCCCGAGAGGCAGTGACTGAAGCACTAAAGAAGAAGGTATCTATTTTACATTACTACAGTGCTTTGAAACCTATATACTGATCATCGACGTACTTTATAGTATCTATGTGACTGATAAATGCTTAATGAAGAGATCAGTATATTTGTTATTGGTGGTGACCTCCTGAGCTAGACTGTCGCTGGTAGAAGTAATATCACTGACACTTTGACTGACACTCTCCTTCCTCTCTTTAATACTCTTTTCCACCTGGATACTCTGTCAAACAATGAATTTTGAAACTGAAATTGTTTGCATTCCCTTCATCCCATACACTTCACAGAAATTTAACATAATTTGTAATTGCATCACTTATCAGCATCACCAGTTTGTTGTTGCACAATCTTGCTAGTTGATGGAGGGTACTGTCTATTTGCGTCGGTTTTTCTATGGTGTTATGGATGTTTTGGTGACAGTTTTCTCATGGCATTTAGGGCCTCTTCAAAGAAGCAAAGAACAATGAGATGCGCCTTGGAATTTGCTCTAGAAGCCAAGATGTTGTGGAACCCATGATAAAGCCCCAATGGTACCTTAAATGCGGTGGTATGGGAAAGCAGGCCCTTGATGCTGCCATAGATGATGAAGATAGAAAGCTTGAGATCATTCCCAGACAGTATACTTCTGAATGGAAGAGGTCTTATCCTTTGAAACATGCATGCGTTATTTATTTTATTATTTTGTTTTTGTCTGTTTTTGTCTCTTCTCTTTCTATACTTCATTAGTTTCCTATTAAAGAAAAAAAAAATAGAAGTTTTTACTTAGTTCTGGTCTAACTATCACAGATGGCTTGACAATATTCATGATTGGTGCATTTCGAGGCAACTTTGGTGGGGTCACCGTGTTCCTGCGTGGTACATTGTTGAGAGTGATAAGCCGGAATATTTTGGAGTACTTGATGCACGATGGGTGGTTGCAAGAAATGAGGAAGAGGCTCATGCACAGGCTAGTGATATGTATGAGGGGAAGTTTCAATTAATTCAGGATCCTGATGTCCTTGACACATGGTTTTCTTCTGGTCTCTTCCCAATGTCTGTGTTGGGCTGGCCAGATGACACTGAAGAAGTTCTTGAAACTGGGCATGATATTCTTTTTTTCTGGGTTGCCCGTATGGTCATGCTCGGAATGACATTGGGTGGCAACATACCTTTTACCAAGGTGTGCATAATTTTTTATTTATTTTTATATATTATAGATGGTGATCCATGCTATAAACAGCTTTTTAAAAAATGTGGAGCGAGGCGCACCTCATAGCAAGGCATCAGGATTTTTTTTAAAAGCATCTTTTGTTTAGCTAGCTTCTTCTCATAGCAAGAAGCTGAAAACAAGCTTTCTCTCATTCAAATCAGGAGGCTTTTTGTTTATTAATATATGTATATTTTTTCATTTCATAAGGGTGGGTTTTAAAACAAGCAAGTGGGAGTCAGCTGCAAGATCGTGCACTTTATGCTCTGATTTTATGCACAGAGAGCTGAAGAATGAATACGTGTTCTGCTATGTATATCTTCCTGTGATGATTTTTATTTTATGTTTTGATTACTGAAGTGACAGTGAACTTTTGTCGGTCTGCAGGTATATTTGCACCCGATGATTCGTGATGCACATGGGCGTAAAATGTCGAAATCGTTGGGAAATGTCATTGATCCAGTTGATGTTATAAATGGTGTTACCCTTGAAGGTCTACAGAAGAAGGTTTTAGAGGGAAATTTGGATGCCAAGGAAGTAGCTTCCTCAGAAGAAGGTCTAAAGAAAGACTTTCCTAATGGGATTGAGGAATGTGGTGCAGATGCACTGCGTTTTGCTCTTGTGTCTTATACTGCTCAGGTTTAGACTTCTGTCTTACTATTCTACTCAAGTAATTGTTTTCTCACATGGATCTAATAATCTATTTCATTGTCTTGTCAGCATGATAAGATAAATCTGGACGTCCAAAGGGTTGAGGGCTATAGTGTCTGGTGTAATAAATTGTGGAATGTAGTACGATTTGCTCTGAGCATACTTGGGGATGAATATGTTCCACCTTCAAGTGTAAATCCAAATGTGTTTCCATTTAGTTGCCAGTGGATACTCTCGGTACTGAATAAGGCCATATCCAAAACTGTTCTGTCACTGGAATCGTGCGAGTTATCAGATGCAGCCACTGCAGTGCATGCTTGGTGGCAGTACCAGTTGTGTGATGTTTTTATTGAAGCTATCAAGCCTTATTTTTCTGGTAACGATCCGAAATTTGTGTCTGAAAGGGGTTTTGCACGAGACACGCTATGGTTATGTCTTGACAATGGGCTACGGTTGCTCCATCCGTTTATGCCATTTGTCACAGAAGAACTGTGGCAACGTCTTCCATCTTCAGGGGGTCACAAGAGGGCAACATCAATTATGATATGTGAATACCCATCCGCTATAGAGGTTAGTTTAGTTTTACTAAAAGAGAAAGGCACAACAGAATAAATAAATAGTAGCTTTCTTTGAAGGTGCACATAGTAATGTGATATGATATCTGATAAACCATAGATAATTGTGTAAAACCTTCGGCTGATTTTACACAGCGGCCACAAGCTCATGCAGGCCATGTCCCTTGTTCATATGGGTCATGGTTTGTTTTAAGTTCTTTCAGTATTCACTTGATAGTTTTTTTTCTTCTTATATTGTTGTGTAATAAATGAGGAAATTGCCTGAGTTTTTTTTTTCCTCTCGTCCTCTTTTCAAAATTTTAACCATGTTGCTGACCAGCCTAAACTAGAGGCAAATGGTCCTGCAAAAAGTTCACTTGCTTCATTACTCCTCTTAAGCCATAAAGGACTGCACATACAATGTTTGACTATTGATCTGAACTGAGTTTGTGTGGTAACTACCTTTCTGTCATGTTATTCTTCCAGTACTGGACAAATGAAAGGGTGGAGTCTGAGATGAACCTTATAGAGTCTCTTGTGAAATCTCTCCGTTCACTTGCAAAAGAAAGTCGTGAAAGGTACATCTTGTTAGTGCAGTGTGACATCTTTCCTGTTTCTAAAGATCTCTGAACTTTTGATATGTCATGTTATAAGTTGGATATAACTAGTTTCTCATTCTCTTTCTATGTTTCTTTTAGGCGATCAGCTTTTGTGATTTGTCACACGATTTTGGATCGGCAGATAATATGCAGCCATCAACTGGAGATTGAAACTCTTGCCTATTTGTCATCTTTGACGGTAAATGATATGCTTTGCTTTCAAAATATCTGCTCTAGCATATTTTCATTCGACAATAATTCTTTTGCCCCTTGGTGCTGAACAAAAGGATGCCTTATTCTTATCCCTACAGGTAGTCAGCCCGAATGATGGCTTTCCCATGCCAACCGAATCTGATGGATTTGTGATGTCTGATGTAAATGAAAACCTTTCGGTTTTTCTGAAGGTTCCAAGAGTAAAGGCAGACCCTGAAAAGATCAGAGAGAAGATGGAAAAACTCATACTGTAAGCACATGATTCAAAGATTTTACTTGTGATGCATTGCACTGTTCTATTTATCGTTTGTGATATATGAAAATTGGCCTTTGATTGGTTGGTTGCTTATTTTGCCAAAGTTAGGAAAGGGGGAGGGGGTTTTCCACACACACACTATCAAGGTGTTATGGGGTTCGAACCTAGACCCCATTGGTGGTTGGTTGCTTATTTTGTAGTAATGGTTCTTAGGGATGTTTTCTTAATCACAAGGCAAACATATTTTTTCAGAAAACTGTGCAAATCTTGGATTTAATGTTATTCAAAGATGAGGCAAAAGGTGTTCTGGATTTGGATTATTACCTAGGATAGTTGTCAATCTGGTGTTTTTGGGTAAATGGCTTTGAATTTTGCATTGGTTTCTCTCCGTTTAGGACTTCAATAACACTAGTCCACTGGTACGTACTAATTGATTTTATTATAACTAACAGGCAACGGGAAAATCTGCGGTTGATGATAAGTGCTCCTGGGTACCAAGAAAAGACCTCTGAGAAGATTCAAGAGTCCAATGCGCACAAGCTAGCCTCCTTGGAAAAGCAAATGAAGTCTTTGAAAATGCAGTCTTAAAAGGGACGCTTTGATATTTATAATATAGTTATTATTATTTTTTTAAATTTGAGAATTGTAGTTAAATTTGCAAATAGGGTGATTATGGCATTGGTCCACAATTGCATCTCACAATTTATTTATGAAAAAATACAAGCGATAGTCTAAACTGCAAGGGAAATGTTTGCAAGTTAAGATCCTTTTTCTCTGGGCTAGACCTTGTTGACATTGCATCTCACTTATTAATTGTACATGATCAGACTATTTTTAAACAAGGTTATTATGGCATTGGTCCCTCAACTTGTACTTGATTTGTACTTTGCTCCCTGAATTCAGTTATTGACTTCTCTTGCTCTCACGCTTTTACTTGTCCCTCACTTTCGTCATTGTTATTAAATTATGTAAAGTTTTTTGTTTATTTTAAGAGTATCCACAATAGTTGTTCAATAGTTCAATGTAATAGTTTAATAAATTGAACTATTTTGGCATCTATTGAATTGAACTGTAGTTTTACTTGCAACGGTACAGTTCAATAGCTTCATATCAATAGTTATATTTACTTGCATGTTTTTTTATTTGTATGTTTTTTTATGTACTCAAATAAAATAAAAGGGAGAGTTAAGTTATGTTCCCTAAACCTGTAAATGAGTTTTACTTTAGTCCCTCAATTCAATTAGGCGTTGGCGGGTTTTGGGGTGATTGGGGTGGGAGCAGACGTGGGGATGATGTGGGGTTTGGGGCTGGATCGGTACGTGTGTTGGGGAAGAAGTCAATGATGCAAAGTAAAATTACCAATTTACTCATTCGAATTGATTGAAAGGATGAAGGCAAATCAACAAACAAAGATTTGAAGCACATTTGGAGACTACATTCCAAATTCAACAGACAATTTGCTATATAATATTTTGCATTTAGAGTAGTAACACCAGTTGGTGACTACAGCTGATTGAATTCATTACCAAGTGGCTTACACTGTACAGTCAATCGATAACAACATACTGGAAGTTTGACAATGGCCCCTGGCAAAGATTTCAATGAACAAAGAATATGAGCTGCTCTCAACGAAATTCACGCTTATATTTCCTTTAAGTAGTGCTCCACTATTGCATCTCACTTATTAACTGTACATGATCAGACTATTTGTAAAAATTTGCAGAGTACATCAACTCATATCTGCAGAAGAATGTAACGATATCATCTTGTGTTCCTCTGTTTCAGCTAAAAAATGTTACAGTAGTTGAACTGCCGCAATTGATGGGATTTTCTCTCTTAATTTCTGTGTGACAGCAACCCTAACAGTCATTACCCCGGCTGCTGGACCTGTGATACGGACTTTCACTATAGGCTCCTCGATTGTTACAAGTTCAAGAGATCCACCTGCTGCCCCTACTAAGTAGGGTCTAATTTCTTCAAGTACCTGGATCAGTTTGTGCATGTATACATAAGATGGCATCCTTCAAATCAAGCACAAAATTTCTCCCATACTGTTAAACAGTAGGTAAGCTAAAGAAGAAGCAAAGTAATGCAATTAAGCAATATGCGAGGTTTCATTGGATGTTGACAACTGGAAAAGGGTTTCTGAAGCCCTAGAAAGGACACAAACAACACAGAACAATTTCCTTAAATTTTGTATTGGTTCAATTTCCCATATCAAATACATATAATAAACTCAGAATGCTTTTTTCTTAAACCATAATCCTTTAAATAGCAGTAGGGAAAATAGCTACTTAGACTATCTAATGAAAACCCCTTCTGTATGTGTGAAGAAGTAAGCATGGAAAGTATATCCAGTATAATTGTTGAAGGGGAGTGAATATTTCAAATGAAATAATACCTTCTCTATATTTTCTTCATTCAGCTCAAGCCCTGTTTCTCCATCTGCTATTGGTTCCACTGCAACTATTTCAGGGATTTTTTCCATTAAACGACGCTCAATACCCATTTTCATTGTCATAACAGAGCTTGGACAGGAGCCACATGCTCCCTGTAGCTTCAAGCGTACTACATTTCCATCAATTTCATGTAATGCAACATTTCCCCCATCGGAAATCAGATATGGTCGGATTTCATCCAATACACTTTCAACGTTCTCTGCAGTCAGTGGCAACTCGACTGCTGAATTTGGAGTAGCAACTGCCTTAACAACTGTACAGTAATGAAATAGATGACCATCAAACATCCAACTAGGGATAAGTAAAAAGAGACTTAGGGTTACAGCACACCTGTTACATGGACAATCTTAACACCTCTACAACAAAAAGAGCATTACACACATATACTGATATGCGATTCTCTCCACCTTTACAGTGAGCTATTATAAGAACACACCAAAAAAACAAAAATTCGATTGTATGGTTTCTTTCTCTACTCCACTGGATGCATGCTTTTGGGATGTAACATAGTCTTAAAATGGCTGTTAATCACCTTTTGTTTGGGCTTGGAACGGTCTGTGAAATTCAAAACAGTATGGCATACGTGGAGTTCATGTCCCTTTTGAACCTACGTATGATCTTTGATTATTTTCATATCTGGAATAATACAATTGTCAATATTGCAAATCAAAGAGCAAGTTTGGACATCCCATTCATCTCTTCTTATTCTCAAGGCTTCAACATAAATAAATATAAGAATTCACAGGACTTCTATCGCTAAACCTTCCAATAAACACCTACATGTTTGCCGTTGAACTAACTAATCATCAGTTTAAACCTAATTCAATTTGGGAATTATTTTGATATTGTTGCATTGAAGCAACACGAGCGGCACAGTGCTTGAAAAGCATGGCAACCATTAACAACACCAATTCGTATTAGGACAAGATACACAGAGATACAAGATATATATTTTCAACAAAAACAAGTACATAGTAGGCCAATCCGTTTTAAACAGCGTCTCCAATACTTAAACACAGCCTAAAGTTCAGTCAGTACATGCATCTAGATAATTCAGTTCAAATCAAGATTATAGACATGTTGAACTTGATGATAGGTTGCAATTCGAAATAATTAATATTACTATCTCAAAATTGCACACGAAAGAAATCAATTTTGGAGGACTCCGAAATTCAATATTAAATGATTGAAAAATACAACTGATGCTTCCAAATCAACCTCAGACCAATTGATTCAGTCTTGGGATGTAAATATCCCTAATTTAATAAATACATAAGAAAAACACAGAAATCGATTTCCAAATTCAAAGAAACTGACCTAGGCTGCGTGAAGCTGAACGCAATCGAACCCGTGAGCAAGGCCGCGCCAGATTATGCCTTCTACTGAACGATACATGGGAGCCTCCTAAAAATAAACTCCAACTCTGCAACCAAATTTTTAAAAATTAGAAATGAACAAAAAATAATAATAATAAAGCAAATTCACTTATATTATTTCTATAAAATGAAGGGAAATCGAAGAAAACCGTGGAAGGTTGTTGCTGAAGGGCTTGTTGGGGTCTGCAGTATGACGGTGAAGTTAGAAGCATGGCTCTCATCGCTGGTTCGAATCCAAGAAGCTGAGTTTAAAATTTGCTCCGTTCTTTTTTGTTTTTCTCTTCTTCTTGAACTAACTATTTTGGATTTTCTCAGAAACCAAACAAGTACAGAAGAATACTCTCAAGTGTAAATATCAATGAAAAGGAATCGGAGCTCTCTCCTTGTATCCGGGTGTATCTTCCTTCGTTTGCCGCCGTTGATTTTCCTTTTCTTCCCTTCAATTTTTATACGTTTATATATGCGGGTTCCTCCTTATTTTTCAAGTCGGTTTAGGCTGAAGCCAGTTTTAGATTTAACCCGAGTGGGCGGGTTAAAACTGAAAACATTTTTCGGTTAGGGTTGACTTGAGCCCCTCCCAAATCCAACCTCAATCCAAGCCCAATTTTGAAACTCAAATTGAGTTTTCTTTTTGCAAGCGGGTATAGTTTAGTTGATTGAGCTCTCTCCTCTCCCAATTGCTTGTATTAAAATAATAATAATAATAATAATAATAATAAAGCAAAAGGTCACTTTTGGTCCCCGTAGTTTATCACTTTTACCACTTTAGTCCTGTCGTTTCAATTTGGTCAATTTTGTCCCTGTAGTTTCAATTTGAAGCAATTTAAGGACAATTCTCAATTTCTGTCAATTTTTTTTAACTTCCGTCAGTTGTAGAGGGGTAATTCGGTCCACAAATTATTAAAATAAGAAAAATAATTTTAAAATAAAAATAAAACATCTTTCTCCATTCCTCCTCCCAACCCCGATGCCCACCAACAGTCCCCACCCCAGCCAACCCCAGCCAACCACCACCTCCCTGTAACCAACCACCAACCTAGCCACCCAAGCCTGCCCCAACCCTTAACGATACATAAACAGGCCTCGATATAGCAAAATTGTACAACCACGATTTTGCGCCTTTTCACAAGAACCACCAACACAGCAACCTCTCTATTTACCAAAACTCTAAGCCTCTGTTAACATTTGCTGTTTCAAAATTCAAAAAAGCTTCAAATTTTCAAATAAAAAAAAATAAAAAAATCACAAAGAACAAATGTCCCAAACCCAAACCCCTAATTAATCAAATTCACAGAGATGAGGTTTTGATGTGGCGATCGGTGTACAAACATGAACGTTGGGGACGATGACGACGCCGTCAACAAACCCCAAAGACCACGACATCAACGCCACCCGATCACCCAAAAACCGTCGTCACCATCAAAGCCATGTGCCCACCGCCATCATCTTCGTCGTCGCGTTGTTGATCTCCACTGCGACTTGGCTCTCTCTCGTTTTCTCCGGTGCTCCTTAGCCCTTCCCTGCCCCTCAAACCCTCACTCAATCCCGCAATCGCAGCCTCTCACTCTCTTAACAACAATAGCAACGTCGTCTGGTTGGAAGAGAAGCTCCCCGAAAACAAAGTCGATCTTCCCTTGCCACCGATCATGATTTTCCGAGGACATATCACGATTTCGTTTGAGGTTGGGGCAGGCTTGGTTGGCTTGGGTGGTGGTTGGGTTACAAGAGGTGGTTGCTGGGGACTTTTGGTGGGTGTTGGTGTTGAGGATAAGGGAAAATAGAGGTTTAATTTTTATTTTAAAATTATTTTTCTTAATTTATATTTATGGACCGAATTGCCCCTTTAGAAGTAATGGAAGTTAAAAAAATTTGACAGAAATTGAGAACTGTCCTTGAATTGCTTCAAATTGAAACTACAGGGACAAAATTGACCAAATTGAAACTACAGGGACCAAAGTGGTAAAAGTGACAAACTATAGGGACTAAAAGTGACTTTTTGCCTAATAATAATCATCAATGGTAGTATGTAAATGGTAGTATGTAAGGGACTTGTAGCTCAACTGGTTAGTGACTTTGAAACAATTCTTGTAATTTGCTTTAAATTTTAAGTGGATGTTAACTTGATGTTGTGAAACTGAATTTAAAGTTTGTGTGAATCAACAAATGAATGAGTCAGCATTTTAATAACTCGTTTAGTTTTGGAATGAATCAACAAATTATCCCTCTTGGATGAAAATAGCGGCTGAAAACATGGTATAGGCCCGCAGGTTGTGTTTACGAGTTGAACCCGACCAAATAAAGTTGAGCAATTAGCTTGTAGGCATCTAAAATCCCAACGATACATCTAAGTGCAATTAGCTTGAGCATCATTTTCTGAATTTGCATCCCTTTTTCTTCACCGTGAATGGTTTACTTTCCTTGTCCCGCGTCAGTCTCCTTCACTTGTAAAGAATTCAATCTCGAATTCTCCTTAAACTGAACTTGATAACCCCTAGATGCATGCAAATAAATTCCTCAACTTGATATTCTTCGCACTTAGAACGTAGAAATATGAGCCCTAGAAAGATGAGACATGATGTATAGAGAACAACTCTATAGAAATCAAGCCATCTGCTTGTACAATCGACCAACGAAATAACAAATAGAAAGCATTCGCCAAAAATCACAACTAATATGCTTCCAACTTTTCTGTAACATATTCCATCTGGCCTGAAACGAGTGTTCTCTCAAAGTTCAGGCATGCCCTTCCCTGTTTTAGCATCGTAAGTCTTCTCCAACACGACATCCATAGGCGTATCCTTGGTACCCGCTGCAACCAAAGTTTATTACGGAGAATCAGCATAAAATATGGTAAATGAAGATATCTTTTACAAGGAACATTACAGATCTCGGGACTTCTGATAAGTACCAACAGTAGGTCTTGGAGTAGTCCTTATCTTCAAGATCTCAGGACGAGGGATTATAGATCCAGATGCACCTAGTCCCCTAGATACTCGAACTTTTGTTCCATCCTCAAGATATTTAACCCCGACCTTAACAGGCTTCCTGCACCAAAAAAAATAAAAATTAATCACCACATTGGAATAGTAAGACAAAGAAGAACAAAACACCAATAGTTGTCGAAACATAATGTTAACAATACACGAATACCCTGTAACTGGATCAACAACTTGCACATTTGAGGCATGAAGAGGGGCTTCAACAGTAAAAATTCCACCTTCATGACCTTGGCCTTGCTTGATATGTTTCTTTACCTGCAAAGACAGAGTACTTGTTCAACATTGGAATAGCCACTGAACGTTTAAATGAATTATAATAAACTATAAGGGTCAAATACTATGAACATTAGAAGAGCTTTCAACCAATAAAGATGTTCGTCACAAATAACCAAACAGTTTATAGACAACCAACCATACACACTGACCCAATTCCGCTTATGCAAAAAAGGGAAAAAAATAAAGACCCGATTCTTAACAAGTTTTCTAAAAGCTACACTAAAGAATGAAAAAGAATAGAAAATTGTACAAAGATTGTAAGGCAAAATCAGATGGGAACATTATTCCAATAATACGGATAGACTGATACCAGATTTTTGCCTTCCACAATGACACGATTCTGAGAACGAATCACTCGCTTGATGATACCCGTCTCGCCCTTGTCTTTGCCCCTTGTTATCATCACCTGTAAATGAGATTGGAATAGTTCAGTTATAGATATAGATAGATAAATACGCAAAGAGGTCAAGATCTTCATCGCCCTCACATTATCTCCTCTGAGAACCTTCCAGTGCCTAATGAGTTTCTCAGCCGCTTTCCAACCCATTCCAAACAAAGACAGCTATCTGCAGAAGCCAATAACAAATATTAACACCAAAAGATGTTTATTTCAATTGCCGATTAGCATCACACTCACATAAAATCTAATAGCATAAGAAACAAGCACATTCAAATTCATTTCAGTTTCATAATAACTCTGTACGGATTCTCAACGCTCGAGGTAAAGGGATTTCTACTCCAGCGGCAGAAAATTCAATGCACCCTTGTCGCAGGTTAGATCTACCTGTTAAGGGCATAAAAGAAACTGAGGCAATTTTGGGCCCAACTAAAGACAAGCCCATTTCGAAATTCACAGCCCAATTTAACCCTCTTAGTGGTTTTTCCCCTGGGCCCAATCCTTTTCTGAAATCTAGATCTTTTAGTGAACCGGGCCCTACTTGTGGGATTGAAAAGAATAAGAATTCTGACTCCAAGCCTAGCAGCGGGTGTACGGCAGATAAGCTGAAATAAAAAACCAGATTCTTATCCAAATTCGGCAGAGCAAACGGAGAAGGAAGCAGGGGCTTTCGAACGGGACTGGCTCACATACATGACCGACTCTCTAGTGCATGTGATCCGATGCAGATCAGTTCCCTCCCCTCAAAGCCCATCGATGACAGAGAAGATGACGACGCTGTTTCATCGATCTGCCCGGAATCAATGGATTCAGTGGTCAAAATACCATCGTCTGAATCTGAATTCATTGATGAAATATCTTCGAACGAGGAGAAGAAAAATACAGATGCTTTTGACAACGAAGAAAGAATCCTTCATGAGTTGTTTGACATTCCAGATATAATCAGCGGTGCAAATGGGTATGTGGGAGGCGGCTTTCCTGCCAATACCCAGTCAGATGATCAGATGGGATTAGAAGATTATGAAGATGAAACTATTGTCCCAGAAACTATTCCAGAAGTACTGTACTACTCCAGAAAAAGAGGAAAACGAAGAGGCAAAAGACGTAAAGACACCTTACCTAAATCATTGTTGCACAAAATGGATATATCTTTGATGCCCCTAAAGAAGAACTTGGCTCATAGAAGACATGGCAAACTTTGTGTTTCCAACGGTGATTCGGGTTCGAGGGGCACTGGAAAAGGTAAAGAAAAGATAAGTAACTATACTTCTCATTAATGAAGATAATTAGCTGGAATATTCGAGGTCTGGGAAGTAGAAGGAAAAGATTACTTGTAAAAGAGCATCTACGAGAGATTCAAACCAGATATAGTAATTTTGCTGGAAACAAAAAAGGAGATTGTGGACAGACAACTGATGGCAAGTGATGGCACAAATTTTTGGGATAAACATTAATTTACTCTATATGACTAAAAACCCCAACACCTTTATTCAATTTTTAACAACAAGAGGAGAAGTTTTTTTTTTTTGGTCAAGAGGAGAAGTTAGGTACGAGTGAAAATGGGTTCTGAAAGGGAAGAATAAACCAAATAATAACTTCAATGGACAAAAATACCCTTAATTTGATGGAGCAATTAACATACTTGACAGATTGGGTCACATTGACGCATTTTGAAAGAATAAAAAGTTCAAAACCAAATTGAAAGTTAAGAGGACAAAGTGAAACATGGTCTATAAAATTTAGGGAGGATGTTGCTAAAATTTTCTTTTCGGGTGCATTTTGGTTCAGAGGCTTGGGGAGAACCAAACTTATAAAGTGAAAACTAAGAAAACCATGTTTGAGGAGATTTGTATCCAAGAGTTAATTGAAAATTGAAAATTTAGATTATGATATTACGAAGCATAATTTTTATGGTGTGTGATTGTATAATTTGTAGGTATTGAGAACTTCTTTGTCAATTTCGCCTAGGTCTATGAAATCTCATAACTGACTCTAATAAAACCGAATTTTAAAAAAATATACAAATTATGGTATAAACTACAAGATGAGGATATTCTCACACATACTATCAAAGTGTCATAGGAATTTGAACATAAGATCATTGATTTACAAGTTAATGTCATTTTTCTTTGAGCCATAATTAAGGTGAAAAGTAAATATAAAAAGTGGCAAAATGAAAATGTTGTAGGCTGCTTTCAGTAGTCAGGTTTTTTTATTTATTTATTTTTTTTTGCCAATTATTTTTTTAAATTTTATTTAATTCACCATTAAAAAAAAATTAAAACATGAGGCGGCCCATGCAGTGGGTACCAGGTCTTCATCCACCTTAATTCACACTCCTTGAAGTTGAAACAAACTCTCTCTCTCTCTCTCTCTTGTAATTTTGAATTGCAAGCAAAGAAAGCCCAAGCCAAACCTACCCAATCATCATCAAATATATTCACTCCTCAAACCCTAATCTCCACCTTCGTACACACAGCACGTATCCATGGAATTGGAAACCGAACATTCCCAGCTTCCTGAAGAAGACCCTAACAACAATTATCACGCCAATGTTGACACCTCCAGACCCTTCCGCTCCGTCAAAGAAGCCGTGGCCATCTTCGGCGACCGCCTCCTTCTTGGAGAAATGTACTCATCCCCCAAGCCTCATGGCAACAATATTGTCCAAACAGCTCCTTCATCGTCATGGAAGTTGTCGCCGATGCCGGCTAATTATAAAGTAAGCGAAGACGTTAGCAGTTATGGTGATGAGGAGGAGAATGCAGATGATAAAGTAGTTATGGAAACTCTTAAGAAGCTGGAGGCTGAGCTTGAGGAGACCAAGGTGGAGCTGAAGTTGCTGAAGGAGAGAGAGTCCGAAACCGAGGTGGCATTGGCCTCCTTGAACGCAGAGCTTCACAAGAACATGTCCAAGTTGGCTCAGGCTGAGGCAAATACTGCAGCAATGGCTAGCAATGTGCTGCACGAGGCTGCAAGATCATCGCCATTTACCGGTACCAGACATGGTTTGATGAGGGAGGAAGAGAAGAACAAGAGGGAGTGGATGATAAGGATGGAGGATTCTACCTCTTTGGCTCAGATATTGAGCATTGGCACTCAGAAAAATGGAGGAGGAAAAAGAGAAAAGAAAATAATGAAGAAGAAGCCTATTGTCCCTCTTGTGCAAGATTTTTTTTTCTGGAAAAAAGGATCTTCAACTCCTCTTCGTAATCTTTTTAATTCTTCTCCACAGCTCTACTATTGATGGTGAGAATATATGCGGTTTTCTTCGATATATTTCCTTTCCTTTGTATTTTTTCTCTTTGTTTTGTTTTAATTATTTTCTCCATCTAGAGTGGAAGAAAAAAGTTTTACGGAGTATGTCGTGTATTGTATATTAATCCTATATTTGGTATAATAGTGAATCTTTTTTTTTTTTTCCCGAAACTGAACCAGCTTGGGAATCATCTTCTAGGTTTTGCTCAAATTATTGTAGTTATTATAAATGGGAGCAGTTGAAGATTTATTCATAAAGTTAATTAATTGGGAGGAGAGAGGGTCGAAGAGGGGAGGAAGAAGAAGAGGGGTAAAGGGTTTGCCAATTAATTGGGAGGAGAGAGAGTAAATGGGAGCGGTTGAAGATTTATTCATAAAGTTAGTAAAAATATTTATCAATGACATATATATTGTTTCAGATGTCAAAAGAGTATTACTTCGTATTTTTGTACCATTATAATCCCGTACTACCGATATATTTTAGAGAATATATTATAAAATGCGTACAAGATGTATCACGTGACCGTACTACTGTAGTATTCTATAATCTCTCCCACCTTAGCTACAAAGACAACTTTGATTACGTATGGCATTAACATTATTTATTTCATATCCATGTTAGAGGTAGGAATGTAGAGAAGAGAGTCCCTCATTAAGAGTGGTGAGGAGGAGCAACTATATCCAAAGAAATATATACCCACATCATATATAATTAATTTTTAAGTTGACTCTGATGCGCAATTTGGCGCGCCAAAATCACGCCATTAGGCATCTGTGCGATGTACAATTGATGCCCGTCAGCGCTCAGGGAGTTGAAACTACCTCCAGCCTCAAAAATTAAATTAACCAACCAGCCGGCGAATTCCCCTTGGAGAAAAGCTCCTGCAATGCCAAATATTATTCCTACCATCACAACGGAGACAGGATTTGGGCAGACACAAGTTGCCAGGGCAACCCCAACTACTTCTCCCAGCAACAATCCACCGGCTGATGCTGCAATCACTACAGCTTTATGTGTTGCCTTTTCAAGTGGGTTCTCTGCTGTAAATATTTCCCATACCGTCAGGCCTGCAACAAAAAGGTTCACCGCAATGCCGGCAGCCCTAAAGCCCTTCAATAACCGGTTAAGGCCCCGTTTGGGATTGCTTTTTTTCGCCAAAAATCTGCTACACTTTAAAGTTAAGCAGTTTTAAAGTGTTTGGTAAAAAGAAAATATCCCGATTATTTTAAAAGCAATGGCCTTTTGACAGCAGCTTTTAAAAGCAAGCTCTGGGTTGCTTTTCAAAGCTACTTTCAAAAGAAGCAGAGATAAACATTTAATGAATTTTTTTAATTCCCAAAATACCATCATTCATTTTAAAAAATGACACCACCTCCACTTCCACATCCAACTCCACCACTTGCACCACCACATATTCACTACCTCCATAACCACCGTCGCCACCACCACCACCACATCCTCCTCCTCCTCATCCTCCACCACCACCACCACAACCACAACCTCCTCCACCACCCCCACCACCACCTCCTCCTTCACCTCTACCTCCACCTCCACAACCACCACAACCACCACCTCCTCCAAAACCAGAAGCATTAAGCCCCAAACCCAATTCTTCAAAGATTGAAACCTATGAATCTTATGAACAAAACCAATGGACTCTGAACCAGCAATAATGGAAACAAAATAAGACAAAGAAACAAGCAAACCTTCGTGCATTTGGTTCAGGAATTTGCGATGTCGCTGATATCCACGATTGAAAACAGACAAAGACCACTTCAAATACAAACAGAGTCGTTCAATTGGTTGATGACCATGTTGTTCGCAGCATTCATAGGCTCTGTAATTTCAGGTGGCCTGAAAGCATCATCAGAAACAAGAAATTCACTCTTGCAATCAAGACCCACATGGATGGCGCCCTCAGAAATGGAGAAATATTTCAAGTGCTTCTCACTCCTGTGTTAACAGAAAGAAAAGAGGAGGAGAAATTCAGAGATATTAGAGAAAGAGAAATAGAGAAGACTAGAGAATTTCTGTCTTGTGATTTCAATCAACTGTCACTTACAAAGCATAGCCTACTCTTATGTAAACAGATTACAGAGAGGCATAACTGACTAACCACACAGTTTAGCTGTCTAACTAATACACGTGCTAAGTACCAGACTTGTAACAAACTTACTGACTTATTAATCATAGTTAACATACTAACCATAATTAACATCCTACAATCAAATCTGTCGTGAAAGCCAATGGCAGAATTGTGTGGCAGAGTCGATACACACTGCACCAAGATATCACGATGCAGGACAAGAAGAAGAAGAAACTGGTTTGCGTTGTGTCGGACTCGCTTGTTCTATTCAGCGATAGCTCTATTTTCTAGGGCTGCACACGGGTCGGGTTGGATCGATTATGGGCCCAAACCGCACACCGAACCGGGCCTTGTCGGCAGGCCCAAGTGCTAAACCGTGGACCTCTTATTTAGGCCCATTTTCGAGTTAAGTCGAAAACCGAATTGGGCGGGCTGGGTTGGTTCGGTTCGAGTATTTTTCGAGGCCCAACAGAAGCCACAATTGAAGGTTTGTTTTTTTTAAAAGTTTTCCAGGGCCATTATGTTTTTTTGGTCAGATTTCAACAATTCAAGTTTTGACAGTTCCTGTATAGTTTTTCCAGTTTCTCCAACTCTGCATATCTAAAGTTTTCATCACTCAAATACTTAAAAAAAACTTTAAAACCATAGCAAATCATCATCCACCACACATCTCCAAACACAGAAATTATTATTACAGTCCATAGCAAATTGTGAGAGTAATCTCAATCACAATTTGCATATTTGCAAAGTTCAAAAGTAAATCCAAATAAAAACAAATAAATTTCCATTACACATACACATACAATTCCATGAGTTATTTCATATTCAAATCAGATTTGCACCTCTGCACAAAGAAAGAAAAAACAGTTAGTAAACATATGAATTTAATAGTAAACATAAGAAAAAACAGTTAGTAAACATATTAATAGTTGAAACAGGGATTTCAGATTCTCCTTCCATGAAATTAATAATACCCTACGAAAATGAAAATATTTAATGCTTCAATAACCAAAAACAATAAGCCAAAATACAACAGAAACCAAAATACAAATATTGCAAATAAAGCAGCAACCAAAATACATATAGCAACTGAAACAGCAACAAAAATAAAAGTACAAAACAGCAACAAATACAAGTATAAACCAACAACAATTTTCAATGGTAATGCAGCTCTTATTCAAACAGCAACCAAAAATAAATATAGCAACCAAAACAACAACCAATCATACAAATTAAATTATTACTCAATATCTGCCAAATCACGTTATTGAATGATGCAATTCTTCCAAAAATAACAAAAATACAGCAAAATAGTAAAATAAAACAGCAACAATTCCATACCAGAAATAAACACAGCCAGCAAGCCAATCTGGAAAAACTTTGCCTTCAAATCAATTCTGTCCAGAAAAAATATATATACAAAGTCAGAATATATAAATATAATTAACAGAAATCAACAAAAATCCCTAAATTTTGAATTAGGGTTTCAAAATATTATTACCTCAAACCAACAAAAATCGAGAGAGGGAGACCTTTGATGACTAAGAGAGAGCGGGTGACAGAGAGCGATAGTTGCTGAGCGAGAGACAGAGAGAGCAAAACCGGCTGAGGGAGACGACAGTGAGAGCGACTAAGAGAGAGCCAGTGAGAGAGAGAATGAGTGACTGAGAGAGAGCGGATGACTGAGAGAGTGACTGAGAGGAAGAACGAACAGAGGCAGAGACGAGAGACTGAGAGAGGCAGAGGTGAGCGAGAGCGGTTGAGAGAGAGACTGAGTGACTTAGAGAGAGAGAGAGAGAGAGAGAGAGAGAGAGAGAGAGAGAGAGAGTGATAGTGGTTGAGATCGTGATTCGTGTGAAATCTGGAGAGAGTCTGAGAGAGTGAGAGGCTCAGAGGCTAGAGACTGAGAGAGGAAGAACGAAGAAGAAACATGAAAGAAATAGGCGGATTGAAAATTTTTTCGAAACCCTTGAAAATGTTTAGGGTTTCACTCCGGATCCGGTGTAGTAAGGAGTATGGAATGGCTTAGAATCGACGAATAATATGTTGACAAGTGTATTTTTTAAATAAAATAAATAAAAATAAAAATAGGCGGTCCGGTTCGATTTTCAGCGGTTTGAAGGCAAAAAAAATCGGTCCAACCCGATTCAGCGTCGGTTCGGCCGATTTTTTTGCTGGTTCTGGGATTTTTAAGTATAAAAACCGAACCAAACCACCTAAAGCGGTCTGGTTCGGGCGGTTCGGTCGGGTTTTCGGTAATAATGCCCACACCTACTATTTTCAGCCGCACTATATTAGAAGGGTGAGTGAGTCCTTTTTTAACTGTTTGGGCTATATAGTCTCATTTAAGTTAGTCCAGTCTTAAACCAAACATGGATTTTAGGTATTATTTTGTCCAGTCCAGTCTAGTGAGGCCTACCAAACAAGGCCTTAGTTCAGCCATGAATGATGTTTTAGTTGCGTCAAGTGTTTAGTTCCCACGAGGCCCACCCAGTACATAAAGCTTTCAAGTTTTTAGACCAAAGCCCTATATTCTACCAAATTCTGCAGCCCAAAGAAATTAAAAATTCGTTACTTCAATTATTTTTACAGGTTTGTTCCATTCTATTCTTATTATATGCATTCACCCAGTAAAATCATGTAATTGCAATATATTAAAATCATATAATTATAAATCCGGTTTAAATTCATTACATTAAAATCATGTAATTAAAATCTATTAAAATCTCAATTGAATACACCCCCCAAAACTATTCTTCACCCTTCTCCTGTGAGTCAAGCACAACACGACTCTATTTTTCAGTGGTGTTTTACTATTTCATTCTCTTTTAATTAAAATTGTGTGCTTTTAATTCTTTCTTTGACAAAGGACATATTCGGAGTTTTTGAATGTTTCACCGTTCTCTGTTTTTTGCTTTATATATATATATCACAATTAGAACCCAAAAAAATGGAGAATTTGAAAGAGAAAAAATGGATAAGAAAAAGGGAAAACTCTCTAAAAAAATTTTGGAACATTTATACTATGACTCCTTCGGTTACAAT